ATAAATTTTAAACTTTAAGCAATAGAGTGGCGCAGCTGTAGAAACAAAGTTGTTCAAAAACTGAATAGGAGAGTTGTTTCTTTTATTAGAGTCGTCCATCTCAATTTAATCAGTACTTTGCACAATGCATTGATCTCCCGGTAAACGTTCGAGAACTTGCTCATTGATTGACAGTGAATCCATATTAGTGAGTGTTAAAATAACTCGTTTAGCATAATCATCTTATTTATTATCTTTAAATATGTGATGATTTAATCTGATTTAATCCGTTTCTCTATTAATGCACTGATTTGGTGTTTCAATACACTTTTTAAAAAAATATTCCATTTTTGACAGGTAATATTCAGTAATAAAGTGTTTTAGTTGTGAAAACTCTCCTTACCCATCATATACCATTCTCAATTTTCAGTGAACATTTTATACATGCTTCTACAACTTCAGCCTTTGCTGCCAAAAAAAAAAGACTTTTCTATCAAATGGAATTTTGTTGTTGCAAAAATATAATTAAAAGTTGTTTGAACAAACTATAAGTTGCATGTTTGGATTTAATAAATTTCCAGTCCATATGGATGTAGCAAATTATAATTTCATGCTGCTGGTTTCAACTATCAAAGAATTATATTTAAACGTTTTCATACTAAAGGCTGATTGATCCATAAAGACCAATTAGTAGTGTTGATTACCTGCTATAAATTTGTAGATTTTTGTAACTAGCTACGACGCTAAGATATGTAGCAAATTGCTACAAAATCTCAATTTTTAAAGTTCAATTATTCTCATAACTATAATAGACTCAACAGTAAAAATCGAATTTTTAAAGATGTCAGAGACAATTAGAAAAAATAAAATAAGAAAAAAAAAATCGTTAGAAAATTGCTATAAAGCTCGCTAGTCGCAAGTTCATTTCCCACTGGATAGGTACTACATAGTCCACGGGTTAACTGCCCAATACATAGCTATTAAACAGAATGTGACTACATTACCTGCTACTATATAGCTACCACATACCTGGTACTACATAGCTAAATAGTACCTGGTACTACATAGCTACCACATAGGCCGTGATCCGCAACATTTTATATAAGATATAGTATTTACTATTTTAAATAAATTTAATTAAAATATATGAACCTTTAGTGATAAACTTTAGCGATATAAAATCAAAATTTATAAAATAAATAAAAAAAATTAAACAATTAAAATAATAATTTCAAATTAAACATATTACCTGATTTTTGTGATATCAAATCAAAAATTTAAAACAGTTTAATTTGACGTCGTTAACTAGCAATCGTAACTAAGCGCATTACATTCGTTATAACCATTGTAACTAAGCGTATTAAACAGTAACTAAGCGCATTAAACATTAAATTACAGTATTAAGATTAAGATTAATAAGATTAATGATGTTGATTTCAAATATTAAGTCAGAATATTTCTAACACGTTAGGATTTTGAGTTATTTTACACTTTAACTTTTGCAATGCATTATATTTTCGCCCTACAACAAATCATCATAATAGCATTTGTCATACAGCTAATTTTAAAGCTGTAGTCACAATTCCCAACCTTATATGACTCTGAATTTGTTCTTACATTTTGTTTGATAATAATATAAGAACCTACTGGCGTCATTGGATAATGATGTAAGCCTATGCATAGTAGTTGATATCAGCGGCAGTTGGCTGCACAAGAAGACACCATAGTATTTATTAAGTTTTCATTTACTGCTTTGTCAGTGAAGTGGGAGCTTTATAAGCCAATAATTCACAACTGAAAGTAATAAGTATTATTCGTTTAAAAAGATGGCTGAGAGACGCAGATGTTTAAACCATTCTGACAGTTTTTTTTTATGTATGTGGATTATTCACTACAAAGTCACAGAGAAAGAATAAAACCCCTTTGGTCAAATATGCTTATAAATTTACTTCATTTGTGTACTATGCAACTCGAATTTGACGCAGCGGCTAAAGAGCAAAAGAAGTTTGTTTTATTTTGCAATTCCTACGGTTTGGAGAGAACCAAAAGACTATTGCACAGGTTGCTACTTTTGCGTGACAAAGTCAGCAGAATTTTCTGGTAAGAACAATAAGAAGATTAAACATTCTACTGTTTCATCTACAATTAGGCCTGTGTCTCACAACAACACCTTTCTGATTCCTGTTCCTCCTTGTGACATTGACATTGTCAAAAATGATGAATCAGCGTCTATTCCTTACTCATATAAAAGTGATTACAGCTTTGATGCATTTGATTCAGCAAACTTTATTTCATCAAACTAATTAAACTCAATGATTTAGTACGAGATCTGAATTTACTGAAGGATAAAGCAGAGCTACTTGCAAAGCTAACTATCTACAGAAAATTATATGCGAGTTTTTCACAACTTTTTGAAGAAAAGGACAAATGCTTTTACTGCAAAGAATTGTAGGTAATAAGCTTGGCTGTCATCACAATGCTCATGAATGCCGTCTGTTCATAGATGTTTCGAAGACGAGCCTTAAGGCACTTCTTCTTCGCAATGGCAACTCAAAGCCTTTATGTTAATATTCTATGCTGCATATATGCAATATTCATATGAGAGCAAAGCAAATTTTTTTTGTGTTAATCAACTAAAGAAAATTTGGCTGGAATGTTTATGCTTACTTTAAAGTTATTGGACTAGTGATGGGGATGCAAGGAGTTAAAAAAAGTACTACTTCTTCCTGTGCTTTTTATCTTCCACCTCTTCATATCAAATTAGAATTGTTAAATAATTTTGTAAAAGCTCTTAAAGGCTACTTTAAGACTTACTTTACTTTTGTAAGGCTCTTAAAGGATGTTTTTCACGTCAAAGAGAAATTTCTGAGGAAGAGTGATGCCAAAATTATAGAAGAAGTCTTCATAGGAATTCAAATTAGACATGTTATTATGAATGACTCTATGTTTACATCAAAGCTAACTGATATGTAACAGACAGCTTAGAAATCACTCCAGGCCGTTGTTAGTGAGATTTTTGGAAATAGAAAATTGGACAGCTAAAGATAACTGCTCAAGAAACTTATAACGAACTATGAGGCCATTATATCTTAAGATGCATTTCCTGCATTCTCATATTGACTTCTTTCCTTTTTGCAAGAAAACATAAAGACAATGAGTAGCTAATTCGGCGAAAGAAACATTAAATTTCTGAGTAAAGCATTTTTATTGAAACAATACATAGTAGGACTAAATTTTTCGACTGGATTAACTTCACTTCTGGATGTGCTAGGGACATTCCAAAGGTGTTCCTGTAAATAGAATATTGAATATAATAAAAGACTTTTGTTGTTCAAGTTAAAGAATTTTTTTGTACTTTGTTGCACAGTGTAATGAAATAATATATAGCAATAGTATAGAGCATAGTGCGGTAGTGGTGTAGTGGTAGAGCGCTCGCTTCATAAGCGAGTGGTTCCGAGTTCAATCCTCACCTTGTCCTGCACTCAACTTGCTTCTCCGCGAGCGGCCTTATTAGGGTGAACTAAAAAAATATATATATATGAATACGAAATAATATAAAGATATAATAAAAATGTTTGTTAGCTAATTGCTTTTATAGCTAGCAGTCCTTGTGGCCAAATTACTGTCTTTATTATTACGAGTTGTTGCTGCCTATTTGCAGAGTTATTTAGCTGGTGATCCTCGTGGCCAAATTTATGTTTATTGACGCAAATATCGCTAGCTAGTCACCAGCCGATTAATTAGACACAATATACCTAATATCTATATAGTTGTAAAGTAAAGATAGGAAAAAATAAAAAAATGAAATTATATATCCATAAGTTTTTTAGTGCTATATCATGAGCCACTAGTTTTAACTTTAGGCTTTATTTCTTATTAGTTCAGTCTAAATATATTTACTCCTCAAAAAGTTTTTAAACAATTTGTTAGTAATATTGTGGTTTACTCTTCTACAACTATTTTAACTACCTTAAAGATTCCTAGAGCGTTATAATTAGCAACCACGGCCTAAGGGAAAATAAAAATAAAACCGAGTATAAAAAGTTTGAAAGAAAGTAAATATTTATTTAAGAAGATAGATTTAGTCATAGAAAAGTTCAAATAACTAACTAACAGTATGTCAAAAAAACATTTATTAAATACATTTAGCTGCATTCTATAGTTTTAATAGGTTTATGTTTGTTTGTTATTATACTTATGTGATTATAATAATTACTTATTTATTACACTTCATCCTAATAACAAAAATATATTATTTTATATATAAAAAAACAAAACTTATATATACTGATTATTGCAAAAGTTAAATTTTTTCTTTAGCAGATTTTAGAATTAAGAGTAAGAATTTAATTGTTTTATAAGTACGCAATAGATAACTATAGGTATGCAATAGACACGTTTAGATACGAAGATGGGATTTATTAAGTTGAAAAACGTTATGACGTTTTACACCACGTTTAAATTCTTACTATGTTATTGGTGTACAACTTTGTAAATGCGGTACTATTACTATATATAAATAAAATAGTTCGAATAAATTCTATGCAAAATAAATATTTAATTTAAAATTGTTTATCATTCGATTCCTTTTTCTTTTGTGTAAAAATTAAATAAAGAAAATAAAAAACTCTTAGACATGTATGGCAGACATCACTAGTCAATTACCAAGTATAAAGGTCTTTGCAATTCATTTCCGAGTATAGATTTTTGCAATGCTTTACACTATTTTGATTATTGCGGCAATTGTTTGCAAATTTATACAAAAACAAAATAAAACAAAAGAGAAACTCAACTAAAATTTCATTGCAAATAAACATAAAATCTGAATTGATTTGAAACCAATAACATTTTATTTAAACCAATAACATCAGATTTTTAATAAAACCATTCAAAAACAATAATTAAACATTCTTATTTAAAAAAATGCTCCCTTTTTAGTTTGGTTGGTAAAACTAAATTTAAATACACACCTTTTGGATGTGGACGAGTTTTGAAGAAGATTCTCATTTACAACTGTATGCTTGAATAATTTCATTTATGTAATTATCCGTAATATTATCGCATTTCAGCTGTGATAATTGAGATTATAAAATAATTCAGGTAATATGATTTGCTGGCGAACCAAGTTGCTTGTGTTACCAAATTTAAAGATTTTTGCAATTCTTTTTGCTGTTCCGACTATTGCTGCAATTATTTGCAACTTTATAGTGGTTATAATAATAACTAAGTTAAAAAAAAAGCCAGTTTCCAAGTATCTTTTGTTGTCTCTATCTATTTCTGATTTGCTTGTTGGCATGATACTTGGTCCAATAACCTTGACACAAATTTTAAATATTAGTCTGCTATCAAACTGTACAGCGCATTTTATTCGTGGTTACGTAATAGTTTTACTTGTTGGATCATCTTTGTCAACATTAGCTGTGATATCATATGACAGATACTTGCTGTTGACCAAGCTTTCTAACTATAATCAATATATGAGCAAAAAGAAAGGACTTTCACTCATTGGTTTTTCGTGGGTTTTTCCTGGGTTGGTACCTATCGTCAGGACATTCAGTATGACATTATATGTTGTTTTGTGTATTATAAATTTTACCTATCCTATTATTGCACTTGGATCTTTTTATTTTTTACTAACCAAAAAAGTTTATAAAAGAGAAATTGAGTTTCGTCAAAATAATCGAATAGCTCCTAGTAATGATGTTATTCAAATTAACACGCTTTATAATAATGAAGACAACTTAACCAAATTATCTGTAAACTATTTCTATATTAAAAATCTGAAAAAGTATAAACACCATGTTAAAGTGGCCAAGTCTGCTACTTTATTATTTACGTGTTATCTTGCATTTATATTTCCTTTAAACATTTGGATGATTTTAGAACTTTCGAACATAGAGTATCACGCCACTTCTCATCGAATTTTTTACTTGTGTGGAATATTCCTTATGCAAGTCAATTCTTGTATAAACCCGTTAATTTACTATGTAAAACAAAAGGATATAAAAAAAGGGTTCCGTCAAATTTTCAAATTTATTAAAGTACAAAAAAGTATTTCTAAAAAGTTTAATATGTCGGAGGCCATTGAGACAACAAACGACTTTCGGTAGAATCGATTTCTAAAGAGAAACGAGTGTTGCAGACATGAGAAGCAAACATAACATCATAAAGTTTTAATTGATTTAAATTAGTAATATTAACTGATAATGTACAGTAAAAATAAAATAAATTTTTTTTAATGAATATTATTAAATTGACAGCTTTTATGCATTAATATATATATTTTTGAAATTTAAAGTTTGGTTTTTACATCTAGTTGATTCCTTCTATTAAATATTATTTACCGTAATATCTACAGTGCTGGTTGTTTTTTATTTGTAAAAACGCTTAAAAAGACACGTAAAAACAATATACATGCTTCAGCCATGATATGCTAGAGTAGACGCTAATTGTATAAGAATTTCAGTTAATGAAATAAAGATCAAGTTCAGCAGAACATTTAGTACTCTTAGAATAGATTTGATTGATAAGCTGCTAAAGCAGATTGCACAATACTGACAAAATGCAAATGCACCTTACTTAACTAAAAAGTACATTCCTAGAAGAGTGAATTAGATTTTAATAAGTAAGGATAAAGATGAAACATAAAAACATCCGTGTTAATGTTTAACGTATATTATGTTATCTTATATTAATGTATAAAGAATATTATGTTATCTTAAAACTTTAATTTTAATTACAATCTTTTTACATTATTTGTTTTGAAACAATTTTTGAATTTTCTTTATTATATTTAAAAAAATAACTTTAAAATATCACAATAAATATCAAACGGAATAAAAAAAGTCTACATTCTTGTATTATTTTGAATTTTTCACAATCTTCTTTACAAAACTTTGCTATTCAATTCTCATTTTTATTTTTAGTTGCATTTGGATGTGTGTTTATGTGTGTTTATGTGTGTTTATGTGTGTTTATGTGTGTTTATGTGTGTTTATGTGTATGTATGTTTAAGTATAAAAATAAAAGACTTGGCAATAAAACAACAATACAATCATTTGCAATTTGTTTTTTTTTCAACTTCATTATATTTAAATTTTATTAAGCTATCATTCCATGACGTAATAAAAGCTTAACATATAGGCCCGCAGCAACCTTTTTTAATGCCCGGGATCAAAATTTCATTGGCGCCCCCAATCCCCTATCAGATTTAATAAATATAAAAATCAATTTGATAATCAATTTAAGTGCAAAAAAAAAATGAGATTTTTGATTGGGCTAAATCAATCAGAACATTCGAAAACTTCTAGGACAATCTTAAAACTTTGTTATAAACAAGAGCCACAGTTGTTAAACATTTGAGTATTGCCAAAAAAGTTAAGTTAAAAAGTGCAACAGATATTTTACAGTCTGCAAAAAAAAATTGACTTTCTTGGCGTTACTCATAGCATAATTTGCATTGACTTTATTAAAGCACAGAGTTTATGCAAAATTATTATCCATAAAGTTAACTAAAAGATTGGTAGCTATCTTAGCGTTGTCTTAATTAGACGGCTTTTTTTTGTGATGGAGACAGCAATGGTGTTAAAAATGCATTAGAAAAGTCCGTAATGATTTCATAACTTTGAGGGTTGTTTAACCAAAGACTTCACAGCCTCGACACGAGCACCCGATCGGATATATGTGGTTTGATGAAAGGAAAAACCAGTCATCTTGGCTTAGATTTTCTACAGAAAAAAGGGTTTTCACTAAATTGATAGTAAAGCGACTGAACTCGGCTTAAATAGTTCTTCAAAGAAAGTTAAGTGGAACAAACACCAAGATTAAGACTGTGAGAGCTGCTAACAGGAGAGAATTTGACGGTTCTTCTGAATTATGATTGCTTGCACTCTTTCATACACCTTTTGCATAATGATATGTTTTCTTGACAGAGTAAAGCTGATATCTAATGAGCAGTGAGCTAATCGGGTAACCAAGTAATATATTTTCTAAAATAAGTAGCTTAATAAAAAAAAAAAAATGGTTGTGTGCCCCTACTCAGCCTGTACCCTTGTGCAGATATCCAATGACTCTACCCTTGCGACGGCCATAAATATACTTAATATTCAAGGTAACATAATATATCGTAATGTAACACGATAAATAATATAATGCGTAATAAATAAAAATTTAAATTTAAATTTAATATAAGTAACAATGGATCTTATCATAAAAACGAACAATATTTTTTTTTTAAATATTTATTTTTCTTTAAATTTGTTGTCGTATAGGAAACTCTTAGAAGAGTTTAGAATTAACAAACTTTGTACAACAGTTAAATAAAATATAGTTTTAATAATATAAAGTCATAACTTTTAAACAATATATATAGTCAGCTATCCACATTATATTTTTTACATGCTTTTTACGGATCTTATTTTATTGTATATGTACTGACCCCGGTATAAATAGAAAATGATGAAAACTTTGTTGGTTTCTTCGGAAATGTAAATTGATGCTTTTGCAATTTAAATAAATTTTGCAATTGCTTTTTTTTCTATTTGCGTTAATTTGAAAGAAATTCTAAAAAATGCAATAGAACTTGTCTAAAATTGTATTTAAACATTAACATAATATTTTCGTAGATGTCATTTTGGTAGATATTTTAGTGCATTTATGGTTTTTAGTATTTTAGTAAGATTTTTTATAACTACGAGCTAATCTCTATGTTTTTGAAATATATAAAAGTTTTAGATTATCTTTGGACAAACAGAGTACACCAAAGTTTTCATACTTGGGTGTTAATTTTACTTAAATGGGGTTTCCAAGGCCATCCCGTGGGGACGCGGAAGTAAACGACTAATTGATTTCCTAGGTGTGTCGAGCCCCCTAGAAAATTAATTAGTCGGTAAATTTAGACATTTGAGTCGACTAAATCGGGTTAGTAGTTGCAGTCGGCAAATGTTAGCCAATGAGGACCTCTTTTTTTTTTTTTTAGATCTTAGTTGGCAAAAAACATATACATCAACTCCCATTCCTCCTTTAGATTTCTTCAAGACGACCCTGGGCTTTCCAAGATACTTTTGTCTTTAAATATTCCATTAAAATTAATAGTTTCAGTTCTTTCGATATTTACATTAGGGATCGTCCATAAATTATGTAACGCAAAATTTTACAAAAAACAAAACAAAAAAGATGAAAAGTTTTCCCTTGCATAGTCTTATACTAAGTGAAAAATCAAAATAGTCCATTAAGTATAATGAAAATTGCCGCGCCAAAAAGCTTAATATCTCCTACTTATGTTTTTAAAATTATTATAATTTATGGATGATCCCTTATCTATTGCAAATATATTTTCAAAAAATATTTTCAAAAAAAAAAAAGGTATTCAAGTAAGGAATTCAAAGGACCTACCAATTACTACTTTGCCTTTTTTTTTTCTTATCTACATTTGTAAAAAGTTTATTCTTATTTTGTTGATTTTATACTCTTTACTTAACATATTATTATATTTTGGTACGTATACGTTTATGTAAAATATAGGTGAGTAGATGCGTGATCTCTCTTTGGATTATATATTATATACTTAGGAAATTTGTAGAAATTTAATACTAATATATAGTTGTTACCTTTGTTTGAACTTATTTTAGGTTCTGACGACAAGATCAAAAGATCTTGTCGTCAGAACCCAAACAAGCATAAACAAAGAAAAAGAAAAAACAAAAAGAGGTAAAAAGCAACCAAATTGTTTAATATTATTTAGTTGTATAGTTAATGAACTTGCTTAGAATTAATTATAGTTAGAATTAGGATTGTTGTAATTGTAATTGTAAAAATTCAATTCAATTACACATTACAATACAATAATATAATATTGTAATACCGTAGATGTAATCAAAACATTATTTATAGTTATTGTATTGCTGTGATGAAAACAGTTACAAAAACCATTGTATTGTTTTTATCTAACAATAGGTTATTACATACATTTGTAGTGAATTGACGTCATGTAAAACAATTACAATAATTATTATTTTGTTTTGATAAAAAACAGTTACAATATATATTGTGGTGTATTGTACAATAAATATTGTGGTGCATATCTATTTCAAAGTCCAATAGCTATTGTATTTTAAAGTATTTAGATTCATTTTCACACGCATTTATTATCATTCGGGCACTAGAAAATTCAGAGGGCACATGAAGATCGTTTTTAGCAGTCATATAAGTATAAATTTATTTATTTTAAAAAGTGAAGTGAAGCCAGGAAAGAAGTATATACTCTATGTATACTTAACAAATATTAAATTCATGGGCGCTCGTGGCACCCGTTTTTAGCAACCATATACATATAATTATTTTATTTATTTTGAGTTCAATAATATAAATGTTTAATGAATAATTTATTTAGAATTAGTATTAATAATACTCATTCAAAGTCATACAAATATATAGTTTATTATATATGTTTGTAATTAGATAATTATATTATTATAAATATATTAGTTGTACCTGAAGCACTTGTATAAAGAACAACAATATTTTAATTCTTCTAAGTTTTTCTACTCTAAAATAAACAAAGTAAATAATCAAAACACAACAGTACCCTATTGAAATAGGGTACAAATAATCCCAGTAAGCACAAAGACGTTTAAAAGACGTTTTAAATATGTCTTTAAGAAGGTCTAAAAGGCGCACTTGTAGACGTCTAGATCATAAGGCTAAAAGACGTCTAAATGAAGACGTCTTTACAAAAACGCGTTTTAGACGTATTTTAGACGTTTTTTTCAAAATAAATTTAATTACATGACGTAACATTTTCGCGTAGTATGTGGTATATATTCATTGTATTTATAAAATCATATATTGCTATAATTTCGTATATACAAGATATACATAGGAACCAGCAATCAAAATAATATTGCTGTAATCACCACCAGCGGTTGATGCAACAAAGAAGAAAATAATAAAAAACAACAAATATATATATTATAACAGTGTTTAAAACATTTATAATTTATTTTTAGTTATAATGAAATTTAACATAAGTAAGGATAGCTAATTTTTGACCGCATACTTGACTTATTATATGGCTTGTGGGTGTATAAAAACTAAAAATACTGATATTAAACTTATATATTATTCTTGCCATTTTCACTTATTATCATGATCAGTCAACTATCTATTAAAAAAGCAAAATAATTATTAATAAAAAATAGATATATTAATATTATAGCAATTATTTTAGTGATTCCTGTGACAACAATTTTAGCAATTGTGTAAAAAAGTAATTTCCCAGTAAGCACAAGACGCATTTTAGACACTTATAGACGTCTAAAACTAGTCTAGGTAAAGACGCCCTTTTATAGACGTTTTGAAGACATTTTCTAGACGTCTTTAATAAATGCGCTTTTAAAATGACGTTTAAAATGCGTCTTTTTAAAGTTTAAAAAGACGTTTAAAAGACGCATAATATATAGTCTAAAAGACGCATTAAAAGACGTCTAGATCAAAGCTAAAAGACGTCTTTTCTGTGACCTGTTTATAAATATGTCATTATGACTTCTTTTTGACGGCTTTGTCATTACGCGTTAAGAAGATGTCGTATATTCAAAGTAAAAACATAGTTTTTATTATTTTCAATAATTTGTTCAAGTTTTAAGTGTAAATTACTTTAAATGAAATT